CGATGGAATGAAGCAGGTGCAAGTGAGGCCCAAGGACACAGTTTCTGATACTCACTCTGCCGCTCTAGCCCTCACTTTTCACACCTGTAAAATCAGAAGGCCAGATTCCGTGATCCCTACTGTCATTGACTACTGGGGACATGACGTGCCCTCAGAGATTGCCATCCAGCACTTCAAGATCACCGTCTCCACTGCGTCTCTTTGAGAGTTCAAACCCACCTGCAGATAAAGAGAAAAAGCCCTACCAGGACAGGCAAATGCTGGGGTCGAACATGTTTGCCCACATGTACTCAGGATGGGCCCGAGGCACCACGGCAAGAAAACTAACCTGAAGCTGACATGGGAAAGATAATCCCGGGCTATTTATTTCAATCTCTTCATTTGAGATCGGTCTCCCGCACCTACGCCGGCCATTGCGTTAACCAAAAACACGCAGACCCAGGAGGCATTGCAGGCTCACTCCCAGATCACCGCAATAAAGCGAGTCATCCTCGTTTTGCTGGGAGAGGGGCTTGCCTTCGCTTTGTAAAAAGCACACCTCTGAAGAGCAATGAAGTGAAGCACAGTGAGACGAGGTGCATACAGTTCTCAGCAGCTCCACTGGTAGGTGCTCTCGATGCTTCAGCTGCCAGATCAGCCAGCTGATCTACTGAAGCCTCATCCAACAATGAGTTCTGTGATTCTGTTTATAACACACGACCGGCGACCGAAAAGATAAGAGGAAGCCCCGCTATCTCCACCATCTATTTCTGAGCCCCGACAGGACACAAGCGGCCACAAGAAGGGAAGGTGGGGTACAGGAAGCAGATACGAGCCGGTGGTCACGTCAGCGGCCGGGCACCCCGTGTGGGCTCCTGACTGCTTCCAAAGCCAATGTCGGCAATTTCGCGCAAAGGTCAGACGCGGTCCTCCTTTCCCCCTTCCACTTGGTGTAAAAAGGTAAAAGCTGATTGCAAAGTCTGAGCTCAAATGAGCAGCTGGTAAACTCTGATTTCAAAAGAAGAAGTGGATTCAGGATGGTCCAGGAATCTGTGGCGGGTGTTTAAAAACCAGCGTGAGTGTTGCACAAAAGACATTCACAAAGGAACTTTTACCACCAAGTCATTAAAGCCGAGAACAAATCACAGAAGACTCCCAAAGGCTAAAAGGCTTGCACTGCTACTTGGTGCTGACAGAACAAAGGCTGGCCTGGTGGCCCAGGTTGTGCCAGGGGGCACGGTCCCCACGCTCAGGGTGTCCACCAAGGGCATCTCTGGAAACAGTGTTCTGCTGCTTATTTTGCATGACCACCCAGCATATAAACTGAATAACTAATAATCATTATCAAAATGGATGTTTCTCAGTCTCTTTCAATGACTCTAATCTAAGATGTTACCTATTTTTATACTCAGAAACTTTGCTCTGTGCTGGTCTGCAGGTCTGTTATTTAAAGGTTACCCTTGTACCCTCTCTTTGCTCTGGAGGTTTTTCTTTGACCAAAACCACAATAAAATTCAAATATCAACCATTGAATCTCTTCTCCTCCAATTAAAACTTTAAGATCTGTTTTCAAAAGGGAACGTTTTAATGAACATTAGACTTATTGCTTCTTTTTCTCTAAACCAATGTCTTGGGGTTTGAGCAAGGAGCAAGTGTTATTTTGGTCATGTAACAAAAACAATAATAGTTTGTACCCCACTTCTGAAATAGATACAAGCTGATGAACACAGCACAGAAACTGACTCCTAGAACAGATAAACCAAGCTGTTTGTCTGCATTGGGGGATCACAGAGGTTTTTAATGTTCTTCTTCTTGTTTATAGTTTTCTGCGCTTCCTGTAATGAGCACGCATCACTTTTGGAAAAAGAAAAAAGAAGAAGGGAAACTTCATTTAGGGAACAATCGAATTAGCGATTGTTTCTGCAGCACAAAGACCTGGCCCTCACCCCACCCCAGATGCCCTGGCTTCCTCCGCAGGCCGCAGGCCCGTTCCCCTCCAGGGGCGACTCGGGTGAGCAGAGAGACCCTGCAAAACTGTCCCGGGGCCCAGCCCGGCAAGGCACCAAGGGCACCAAAAGCCTCAACCCCAGGTGACACCTCAGGTCCATGCCAAGGATTCTGGAAAATGTAAGGGTGAAGTTAAAAAATTATTGTAGTTTAGATTCCATTTAGTCTGAGACTTGCAATGAGTTCTTGCGATACCTCCTTTTGAGTTTGAATACCTTTTGTCCTCTGCAAAATTTCATTGTTTGCAAGAAAAATGTTTAAATTGGGATTTTAAAATAGGGATGAAAGAAATTTAGATTATTGCCAAGTCTCTTGTGCCAGGGCTAACAATTCACTCTTACGTGAGCACCCATAATAGAAATCTGCAGGACACACTGTTACCTATTACACACCACTAGTCTCGGTCTCTCCGCTTGGCTGGGGGCTAAGAACACACCTGTGAGAGGCACCGACATCAGAGTTCGGACCCTGGCTCTCCCCTTGCACTTGGGAAAGAAACAGGAAAGCCCGCATCTCAGCTTTGCACTGGGAAATGAAGGTTATAAATCCCTCCCTCATCAAAGGAATTCCCAACAGAGTGGCTGTCACCTCTTCAGTTCAAAAACATTATCAACGTTAATATTCCCTCCAGTGGCCAGTCCTGGTGTCTGAGTGGTTCCCAGGGCCCAACCAAGGGACCAAGTCTCCAGAGCCCTGACGAGAGGAAGTAACACCCCAAAATATGGACCCCTTTTCCGCTCCACCTTCGCTAGCCAAGCAGCTGCCAAGAACAAAGGCTGCATCCGCAACACCTGGCAAACAAATGCAGCCTGGCCTCACGAGCTGAGTGCCTCTCTACAAGTGTCTTTGGGGAGGAGCTTCGAGAACGAGCGGAGGAGCGGCTCCCCTTCCAGGGGCCTGGGGAGATTCCACCAAAGAATCCAGAGGTGGCGATGGCGGCCACGGTTCAGGCAGCGGAAGCGGCTGCAGAGATTACTCGGAAGCTGGAGAAACAGGAGAGAAAACTCTTGCAGGGGGAAATGAAACAGCTCGCGGCGCCCGCCCTTGCATCTTCAGAAAACAGCAGTCAGACGCTGGAGGGGTGTGAGGAGACACGTGAGAGACCCAAAAAGAAGAAAAGCCAAAGGTCCGGGGGGGCCTCCTCAGGAGGACCGGATGGAAGATCCACCTGTCACTATCCAAGCCCAAGAAAAGACAGCGGTGTCCCAGGAGGAGCTGGTTAGCAGTGATCTTGAGGAGACAACTGGCAGTGCAAGTCTTCCTGAGAGGAAGAACTCTCTCCCCGCAGAGGAACCAGTCAGGGACCCCGAAGAGGCAGGAAACAGAAGCGTCCCCAAGAAGAAGAGGAAATTCTCTTCGAAGGGGCAGCCGATCAGCAGTGGACCTGAGGAGGCTGCTGGCGGCAGCAGCGGCGGCAGCTCCAAGAAACGGAGAACGCTCCAGAAGCTCCCCCAGGAAGACGAGAGTGGACAGTCCCCTGGTGGGGTAGAACCAGCCAATGACCCGTCCCCTGCATCCCAATAAAAACAAATTCATAAGAAAAAAAATACGTATTCCCTCCGGTAGCATGATGTCTTACATCCGCACAGCGACGCATGCTCTTCACGAAGCTTCCACATCCTCTACCTCATCAGATCCTCAGGCAGCTCTAGCAGCACCGGAGGCCGTAAAGACGGTCCTATTTTTCTATTATCTTGTTTTGTAAATCGATGAGGAAACTGAGGCCCAGGGTCGCGGAGCTCAGAAGGCAGATCCAGGCCTCTTCTGCTCAGTGACACAGATTCTCAGCTGAGCCTTAGAAGCCCCCCTGTGCCATGCCTGAATGTAATACAGTGAAATTTCTTTCAAAAGACTGCGCTGGGCATACCTTAATCAAACCAAGCGCAAACCACATCACTCCAAGTTACTCAGGTTTTTGCTAAAAATAGCAGGTGAGGTTATTGAGAGCTCACTGTCCCTCTCAGGCACTGGGCGAGGTGCTTGACCTCCACGGACACATTTAAACCCCACAGCCACCCTATGAGGTAGGCGCTGCCATCGTCCCCCAAACTGACACACGACTAAGTCCAGGATTGCGATGCAGGCAGACTGTTCCCAAACTCCAATCCTGGGAGTCTGGCACTGTCGCACTTGTGGGACCGACAGCTCATTCTGCAAAAGTGCTTCCACACGCGCTGTGAGACGGGGAGGCCAGGCTATCCGCGTCCTCTTGCACGTCTGAGGAAACTGAGGCTTGCAGGTGTCAAGGGCTGTATCTAAAGCTCCCGGGCAAGGACGGGCACCAGGCAGCGCTCCGGGGCCCTCTCGCCCCAAATCGCGTTCTCTGCCCAAAGTCTCAAACTCTTGCGTATATATTTTAAGAGTGAGATAGATGGTAAGAGACCTTCTGTCATTCTCCCAAAGCAACCACCACTAATGGCTTCACTGTCAACAAGGGGGCTCGACCGTGTGACCCGGGCTCTGTCTCTCCTGCGCCCGGTCCTGGGCGTTACTATCGCCAAGTCGGAAGTGTGACCTGAAATTGTTTGCAGAGCTGCCCTTTGGGGAGGTGCCAGCACCACCTTCCTCATCCCACCCCAACCTCCTTCCTCCCGATCCGTGACGGGACGAAAGCGAGGCGGGCGTCCCCAGTCCCTCGGGTGGCGGGGGAGGGCGCACGGCGACGGGAGGCTGGGACGGACCCAAACGCCGGCACGCCCCTGCCGCCCTCCGCCACCGCCACCGCCACGGGGGCGGGTCGGACGTCCGCTGCTGTCGGAAGCTGCAGCTCTCCCGAGTCTCTGCACCGTCCGCGGAGAGAGACCGGCCTGGCCAGGCGCGGGCTGACCGCGCCGGACCCGACTCCTCTCCCGACCCGGCGCGCCGAGCGTCCTGCCTCAGTTTCCTCCCCTCGGGACTCTGAACCCGAGCAGTTAACAGCAGCGCAGCCCAGACCTACACGGCTCCCAGCCGCGCAGCGCGCCCTCCCGGCCCGACCGCCAGCCCCCGCCGCGCCGCGCTGACAGCGCCCCTACCTGCGCGCGGGCCCCCGCCGCCACCGGCCGGAGCGCCCCGGGGCCCCCCGCCCGGCATGCGCCTCGCTGGCTCCTGCGGCTGGGCGGCGGCGCGCGGCTGCGGGCGCCCGAGGCCCGCGCTGAGGGGAGCGAGCGCTGCGCGGGACGGGAAGTGGGGAGGGGGCTGGGGGGCTGGGCGGGCTCCTTCCGGCTCCCCAGCGCGGCGGGCAGCTTCCTCTCCAGCCTCGGCCCCTCGCGCGCGCGCGCGCGTACACACACAGGCGCGCGCACCCACGCGCGCGCGGCAAGGGCGGGCCCACAGTTTGGCCGGGACCTCTGAAAGTTTGCTTTTCACTCTGGCCCATTTCTGCTCGCTACGGGAGGGGAGACGGGGTGGGAACCGGTGTTCAGGGAAGAAGAGGCTGGGAGGCCTTCCGGGTGCGTGTACCGGGCGCCTCCCAGATGTGTGGTTAGGAAAGTGTGGGTGGGAGAGATGGAGGGGAGAGGAGGGACTCGTTTAGATAGACGGAAGGGAGAAATCGGGGAAGGGGCCAACAACACTGGGAGAGAGATGGGAGGGTGCATTTCCCAAGTGAAATCGGAACCCAGCTTTCTGAACCCTCTGGCAGGCCGACTGGTCCCAGAGCCTCCTCCCCGCGTTGGACGGCTGTCCTGGGATGCGGGTGGTGGCCCATACCCAGCTCCCAGGCTGCTGACTCACCTCTTCGCCCCTCCCCTGTGGTGCATGCCAGGAGGTTACTGGAGCAAACCCAGGTAGCACCTGACTAACACCTTCCTATAGAACTAACAACATGCAGTGGAGGGTGCCAAGGGCCAGAGCTTGGCACAAAACGGGCGTAAGTTCCAAGGGCGTTAGAAGGACTAGTGTGAGGGCTGAGCGGGAAGGATCTCACTGGAAGTGGAGGAGGACCTTGCCAGTGAAAACACACAGATGCGCTCAGAAGTCCAGGTGAGCATGGATGTGAATGATGTGGTAAAATGGCAGGAGGAATAGAAAGGTGGATCAGGCTGACTTCAGGCAACTAAGCAGAGGCCTGGATTCAGTGCTGGAGGTTAGAAAGTGCTCCTAACAGTGTTGGGCTAGTTGACTGGAACATGGCGCAGAGGTGACCAACACTAGCTGAAGCGGCAAGACCAGGCGGTGGCGGTGTGCTGCACAGGACGCATCCGGGGCTTGGGGAGAGGGGCATATGAGCGTGGATTGATCATGTAAGGCCTTTCTACGGACTCCAGGAGGGGCCAGAGCACACACCGTTCATCAGGACTGAGAAAAAGCTTCGTGGCCCAGCACCCTTCGTTCCTTTGTCACTCGTCTCTGTAGGTCAGACATTAGAGTGGGAGCTCTGACCACTGAACTGGAGCCCTTAAATGGAATGGAGACGGTTGGTTTCCAGGGTGACAGGAGCCAAATGGTGGCAATGAAGGGCCAAAGGCAAGGTGGGTATGGGTTCTGTCATGGACTGTCACAGAGGGCAGAGTCGAAGCAGCAGTCAGCATAGACTCCTCAGACCCACGGCATTGGCAAGTCAGTGTTCCTAGAAGTCAAATAGAGGGGACATCTACTAAATTCTTTTTTTTTTTTAAGATTTTATTTATTTACTTTTTAGAGAGAGGGGAAGGGAGGGAGAAAGAGAGGGGGAGAAACATCAACGTGTGAGAGACACATCAATAGGTTTGCATCCCCAACCGGGGAACCTGGCCCACAACCCAGGCATGTGCCCTGGTTGCGTGCTGAACCAGCGTCCCTTTGGTTCACAGGCCAGTGCTCAGTCCACTGAGACACACCAGCCAGGGCAGAAGTCTACTAAATTCTAACTTGGTCTGTGTATAAGCATAAACATTTTAGGTCAAGTGATCAAAAGCCTATTTTGAATTACCAAACCTGAGAAGCTCAGCCCTGTAATCAGTTCCCAGTCTAAAGTCAGTGTGCAGACCAAGAATCCTTTGAGTGAAGACATTGGTGTCCTCAAGGAAAGGCACTGCCCAAAATTTACTAAAGTTCATCTTTCTTCAGGAAGGACATATGGTTTTTTATCAGGGTGACTGCTTCTTGGATAAAAGGAAACAGACTTTTCGGAAATCAGTGGACACCAGCTCTGAACTGACACTAATTCCAAGAGACACAAAACGTCGCTGTTGTCCACCAGTCCAAGTAGGGGCTCATGGAGGACAGGTGGCTGTTGGAGTTTGAACTCCGATCCACTTCACGGTGGGCCCCTGCACCCCTCCTGTGGGTATGTCCCCAGTTCCGGACTCCGTAGTTGGACAGACATGCTCAGCCACTGGCAGGTCCCCACCATGGTCCCCGACCTGTGGAGTGAGAGCTCTTATCGATGGGAAAGACAAGTGGAGGCCCCTACAACTGCCTCCACCTGGGAAAAGCATGAACTGGAAGCAGTACTGTACTCCAAGGGGGACCGAAGAGACCAGTGCCGCCATCAGGACTGGAAGGATACAGGGGGGTGATTCCCCGACATGTCCCATTCCGCTGCCTGTGTGGCCCGTGCAGAAAACAGATGGATCTTGGAAGATGACAATGGATTATCAGAAACTTGACCAGATGGCAATGGCAACTGCAGCTGCAAGAGCAACTATAGTTTCATTGTTTGAGCGAATCAGCACATCCCCCAGAGCCTGATATGCAGCTCTTGGCCTGGCAAACGGTTTCTCTCCATCCCTGTTAGTAAACACCACCAGAGCAGCTTTCCATCACCCGGCAAGACCAGCAACACACCTTCACTGTCCGACATCAGGGGTAGATCCTCTCTCCAGCCCTATGTCATAATCGAGTCAAGCAAGACCTTATTTCCTTCCCTTCTGCAAGACTTTACAGTGGTCCATCTCCTTAGCGACATTGTGCTGACCGGACCTAGTCCGCAGGAAGTAGGAATTACCCCAGCCTGATGGATGAGCCATTTGCATGTCAGGGGTGCTAAATAAGTCTAACAAAAATAGGGGCCTTCCGTGTCATCAGATCTTCTAGACGCTGAGTGCTGTGGGCTGCCCTTCTAAGGTCCAGGATAAGTCATTGTGTTTGGTCTTTCTTTCCTACAAACCAAAAAAGAGGAGGCACAGCACCCAATGGCCCTCTCTGGGTTTTTGCAGCAACACATTCCCCTCCTGGGTGTGCCCCCCAAGCCCATTACCAAGTGACCTGAAACACTACTGGTTCTGAGGGGGGCCCAGAACGAGAGGAGGCTCTGCAACGAGTCCAGGCTGCCACGCAAGCTGCCCGGCGGCCTGGGCCATGTGACCCAGCAGAGCAGGGAGCCTGAAGTGGCAGGGGTGGAAGAGGGGCTGGAGAGGCTTTGTCAGGCCCTTGTAGGGAATCTCATCACATTCTCTTTAGATTTTGGAGCAAAGCCTCTGCGGATAACTACTCTCATGTTGAGAAGCAGCTTCGGCTCACTGCGGGGTCACGGTAAAGACTGAGCTTTTAACCACGAGCCACGGTGTTGCCACGCAACCTGAGCTGCCCATCACAAACTGGGTGGTATCCGATCCACAAACCAGAAAGTCAGACCTGCATTCTGTTCTTACTGGAATTACAGCTGAATACAGGTTTCCCTTCCCTGTACACAGTGTTTCTGCTAAAACCTCCATCCATAGACTTCCAGGGGGCCTTATCATCCACACAGCATTGCTTCCGATCAAAGAACTCATTTCACAGTGAATAAAATGTGGCAACGGACGCATGTGCACAAAACTCACTAGTCTTACCGTGCATCCTATTATCCTGAAGCAACTGGCTCAAAAAAACAATGGAACAGCCCTTTCAAGGCTCTGTTACAGGGCCAGCGAGGTGGCCACACCTTGCAGGGCCGGGGCAAGGTTCTCCAGGAGGTCCCAAGCATAGCCTGTGAATCAATGTCCAGTATATGGTGCCGTTTCTCCCAGAGCCAGGACCCAAAGGTCCAGGGACCAAGGGACGGAAATGGGGGTGGACCACTCGCCATCAGCCCTCGTGACCCACTAACAAAAGTTTTCCTTCCTGTTCCCACAAGTTTTTGTCCCACTGACCTACAGATGTTAGTTCCAAAGGGAGAAATGCTTCCCCCAGGCGACGCAACAATGATTCCATTGAACCAGAAGCCCAGCCAGCCACCTGGCCGCCCCAGGCTCACCACCAGGTGCTTCTCTGCGCCCACAGAGGACGTAGACACGTTGAGGCATCAACCTTCCCTCAACTTCTGTGGCAGCTCCTTTCCCCGTCCTACTCCAACAGGAGGCGTGGCTGGCTTCCAGGTTTTCTGCAAACCAGCGGGTTCACCAGGGCCGTTCTGGCTGCAGACCTCTGTCGGGTTCTTCAACTCCCCCTTTTTAGACGTTTGCTTCTCCAGCATTACCCACAATTGTGTGAGGCCTAACTGCTATAATATGTTCCAGATTCCACAGCGCTCACAGTGGTTCTGCTTCTCCAACTGAACCCTCACTTACAAGTCTACTAATTCCAAATCTCTGGTATCAACACTACAGGAGTCTTCCTTTAGCTTTATGACAACTTTCTTATTCAAACACAATGCTGTATTAATTAGGACTCTTAATTGCAACTAAGCAAAACCAACATACTTAATTTTAAGTAAAAAGCATTTTGGTGAGGATACAGGAAGGATTTCACGGAGTCCAAAGACATCATGAAAAAGGTGCTCCGGAAAGACAAGAGCCAACTCCTGAAAAGCCAGCATGACCTGGGCGGTTCTCTCCTCCCGGCTTCTTTCTCCGCATCTGCTTCCCGCTGCTCCGGAGGCCGCTCCTGCCTGAGCCAGCCACACCGAGGGCCTGGTCATAGTCGGAGCTGATTCTAACGCCCTGGGAGGGAGATCCTGATTGGCCCACAGTCGCCCAGGAGCCCGCCTCTCCTGCCATCAAGGAAGTGGAGCCCTGCGAGCACTTAGGAGAAACACAGCCCCCGAAACCACCCCTGAACGCAGGGGTGAGGGGCAGGCAGCGGCCCCTGCACGCTGGACAGCCACCCCCGAAGGTGTCTACTTTAAATGTCATCTCAGGGTTGGGCACCAAATGTCCTGCCATTTATGAGCCAAAAAATGACACTTCTAGCTCCCCTCTGCTTTTAGTACCTTCTCTATCCTGGCT